CTCCCTCTCTCCCTCATCCCCTCCCTTCACTAAAGTTTCTTGATGTGCCCACCCTGTGCCCCACGCTGTGCTTAGAACTGGCTGACGAGAGGTCACCGAGACAGACCAGCCCTGCCCTCCGAGCACGGAGTCTGTTGGGGAGACAGACAGTAGCCAGTCTCATGACTGCAATGAACCGGGCAGCCAGCCCCTCCAAGCCCCTCACTGCCAGACGGTTCAGGGATGAACGCCGAGGTCTGGGCCTCACTGTGGGGCTTCAGACAACCTGTCCCCTGGGGGTCTCAGTCTGCACAGCTATAAACCGGCGAAGGGGCCAGCCCAGCCGCCTGGAGGGCCAGACAGTGGACTGGGCCCAGTCAGGCGTCTGCTGGGAGGCGAGGGGTGGGTTTGCCACCATCCAAGGCCCAGCTCTGCACACAACCCCCTCGTCCAGGAAGCTTTTGGGAAACAGCTCCCCCCGCCTGAGTTCCTGCAGCCTGTGGTCCTCTCCCTCCTGCAGGGCCCGCCACCTTCTCGTCTGCAGGCCAGTGCTGAGCCCCCATGGTCTCAGCTTGGACGCAGCTGTATGCACTTAGACACGTCAGCCTCTCTGAGCCTCAGCTTCCTCCCATGCAAATGTGGACAAGTAAGGTTGATATTCAGAAGCTGTTGTGAGGACTAAATGAGATAATATATTGAGGCAACTAGCCTGAAGCTCGGCATACGTAGCAGCCGATAGCTGGACTTAAATCCCTCCCTGTCATGTCTGTCTTTTTGCAGGCAGACCTTTAGCGAAACCCCAGCTCTGCCACTCACGGGCCATGTGACTGTGGGTGAGTTACTCAAGCTCTCAGTGCTCAGTTTCCCCACCTGTAAAATGGGAACAATAATAGTACCTGCCTAATATACACAGTGCTTAGAGCTGTGCCTGCCACAGAGGAGGCTCTATGTAAGTTTGGGCTATTATTATTCTTATCATTATTTGCAGAGCTGAGCTACTGAGTAAGTGACATGAGGCTGAGTAGACAAAGCAATATTGGTGTGAGCTCTGGTATGAACTCTGGCTTAGGTTTGTTAGAGCTGAGGCCGATGCCTGGAAACTACGCATTTGGGCTGTAGGACTGGGCCAGGCTCCTGAGCCCAAGGGATGAGCAGCAAAACAGAGGGGGAAGGAGGAAGAATAGCTGATTGTTTCCCGGAGCCCAGAGGCCACAAGCTGCCCTGAGAACAGTGTGTGCTCAGCTGCTGAGGGCCGCCCACCCGTCTGCCGGCCGGAGGGTGGGCTGGGCAGCCACCCGAGGGTCCAGGGTGATCACCGCCAGAGCCATGAGCGAGGATGGAGGCTGGGCTGCAAAAGTGATGAGGTGAGGCACCGACTGTGCCAGGCACCCCGTAGGGGCTCTTCTCACATTAGCATCTCATTTTAGCCTCATGCGGGGCGGCCTGCTGGCTGTTTTTTCTCAAATGAAGAAACGAAGCTCAAAGAGCAGAAACCCGAGACTATGAGAGAGGGGCTGTGGGATTCGAACCTGGTCTCTCTGCCTGACGTCAAAGTTTCAGTTCTGTCAGCCAGTTCCTGCCTCTGTTACCAGTAGCTGAGTGAGCAGGGCAGGTTACTCAGCTTCTCTGACCCTCGGCTATATCGTCAACGAGCAGAAGCAACAGGCTATTGAGAGGCTCACAATATATATTAACGTGTGACATTGGTGGGGGCCTTCCAGTGATCAGTGCCCATTCACAGACACTATCTCAGTTAATTCTTCGAGAGAATGATTACCCCTGTTTTACAGACAAACACATTGACCCCATGAGCAAAATCCACCCGGTGTAAGCAAGCAGGAAAGAGAAATGCAGAGGGAATTTATAGGTAAGCTTAAAAGACATGTCAACTGTTCAGTGCAGAACTTGATTTGAGTCCTGGTTCACACAAATTCTAAAAAAAAAAATGCTAATTATGAGATAAGTGGAAATTTGAACGTTGAGTGAATACTTCTAATAAAGGAACCATTGTCAATGTTTCTTAGCTGTCATAATGGTCCCGCAGTTACGGTTTTTAAAAAAGGTCCTTACCTGCCCGCCGGCATGGCTCAGTGGTCGTG